TGATACATTTTGTTACTGATAATTAATCTTATTCTTATTTTCTGTCTCACAGATGGCTGTTCAAGCCTACGTGGTAGGTTAAAAGTTGTGTCTCTGTGTTGTATAAATGTAGTAAATGGTAACAAACAGTGAATAAACCAACACATTTCTGTGACGCAGCTGCTGTTTAACTACATTTCAGCTTTAATGTGAAATGCAGTTTGTACAGGAGCTATTATGTTTGCCCAGGTTTTTTCATAGTTATTAACATAGTCGGTTGTCCAAAGCAGCAAGTGAATATGAATAGTATTCTGCAAAACGTTTAAATTGTTTGTGATGAGTCACAGTATGAAGCTCAACAACCAAAAAATTTGTAAATTATGTTTGCTAACATGTTTTCACCTTTCATCTTTATTTCTTTTTTATGCTTTCTCAGCATCCGCGGAATATAGTAAGGAAATCTTTTTTTAATATTTTGTGTTTTGTAATTATTAACATTGTCTAAAGCAACACGTGTTGAAGATTGAGTTGTTTCAATGTGTGTGATATTTCAACAATTATTGAATAACTAACAACTTGGTAGACTTTGTAGACTCACTGAGGTTGTTTTCTTAATTATTGAATATCACCTATTTTTTTCCTTGACCAGAGTGTCTTCCATCTGAAAGGACAGGTAAGTTTAAAAGTGTTTTTTTTTTTTAAATTTTCTAAATTATACATCAAAAAAGAGTAATTAAGAAAACATATAAAATAAAAAGCATTTTTCCATCTTTGCACATTTTAAAACAGTTTGTAGAGTTTTTATATTTTCAGGTTTGCTTTGGTAGTCATTAATTACATTGGTAGTCATTTGTTGACACAAAGTGAAGAAGGCTGAATTGCTATAACTTTTGTGTTATTTTGAGTATTATTGAATAACTTGTACACTTGAAATAGTTTGCAGTGAGTTGTCACAACATTACAAGTCAATCGTTGAGTTTTTCTTTTATTATGTCTTGCGTATTGGCATCATGCTCAAACATTTCCATTTTATCTCTCTATAGCGGTCAGGTTTATATATTTTTAAAAAGGCGCACATCAATGGAACAAACATGTTCATTGTATTTGATTCTCAGAGCAATCATTTAGTCTGAGCTCAGTGTGTTTGTGTGTGCTCATTTCTTCATGTGATAAAGTGTTTTGTATGTACAAAATGTCATGTTGTGACCTTATTCTAAGTACCTTTTGAACCACTTGTTTTGAATCATGATAAGAAGTCTAGTTAATACATTTCGTTAATGATAATTAATCTTATTCTTATCTTCTGTCTCACAGAATACTATCGAAGCCTCTGTGGTAGGTTACAAGTTGTGTCTCTGTGTTGTAATTATTAACATCCTCTAAAGCAACAAGTGATGAAGATTGAGTTGTTAAAACTTCTGTAATATTTTAATTATTGAATAACTAATAACTTTGTAGACTTTAAAAACTGCTTAATGAGTAAATAATTATAGCAACATCAGAAGGCAATCACAGAGTTTTTTTTTCTTAATTACTGAATATCACCTATTTTTACCTTGAAGTTTAGTTAATACATTGTGTTACTGATAATTAATCTTATTCTTATCTTCTGTCTCACAGATGGTAATGGACACCTACGTGGTAGGTTAAAAGCTGTGTCTCTGTGTTGTAATTATTAACATTATCTAAAGCAACAAGTGATGAAGTTTGAGTTGTTACAATGTGTGTGATATTTCAAAGATTACTGAATAACTAATAACTTTGTAGAATTTAAAAACTGCTTAATGAGTAAATAATTATAGCAACATCAGAAGCCAATCACTGTGTTTGTTTTCTTAATTATTGAATATCACCTATTTTTATCCTTGACTAGAGTGTCTTTCATCCAGAAATGAAGGTAAGTTTAAAAGTTTTTTTCCTGCATTGTAACATAAAAAAGAGTAAGTAAGATTTTTACAAAAAAACATTTTTAAATGTTTTTGCTTTCACAGCACTCATGGGTTGTGGTAAGGAAAAAAGTGTTTTAGTATTCTCTGTTTTGTAATTATTAACAGGCTGATGATGATGAAGGTGAAGGTTGAGTTTATTTTCTTCATACTCATATAAATCTAAATTGTATAAATTATTCCTGAACAGCAAGTCAAGGGAGGTCAGTTTAAAAAAATATATTTACTAATTTCTACAGACACACACACACACACAACAGAGTAAAAAGAAAAAATATGAAATAAGAGGCGCTCTGAGAGTTAAAACCTCCATCAGTGCAGCTTATTTTTTGGGCAATATTTACTTTTATTGTGTTTTTTCTTTTTCATTTTTTTAAAAATTACTTAAATTCATCTGTGAGGTTAAAAATCTGTTTCTGTGATTTTTATAAATATAGCAATTGTCTGCAATCACTAAATAAACTAACACATTTCTCTGACAAAGTTAGTATTTTACCCATTCTAAGCTTGATGTGAAATACACTCATAGAGAAAAAGTTGTTTCATGTTATGTCAATTTTAAGAAAATTAACCATGTCTTTATGATTTTTTTTAAAAAAAATGGATGATACTGTTTACTTAATGATTTTAACATCAGACTTTTAATTGTGTGTTGTTTAGCTCGATCGCAGGTCATGCGCTCTGCTAGAGGTGAGTAAAAAGCTAAATGTTGCAGAAACAGTGTGATTAAAAATACGTTAAATGGCTGTAAGCACGCAACTAAACACCACATTCGTTTGCCACAGTTGATCTTTAATTTTGCCTTGGAAGCCTTTAACATCTTGTGTTTATTGCGTTACCATTCCAATCCAGTGATAGTTGTTCTGCTTCTCAATTCTCAGGTCACCATTTGCTCCATGTTTTTAAATCAGCAAGAGACAACATATTGCTGCATTGTGATGACTGTTAAAAAAACATATGAACCAGTTCCTGACATAGGAGTCCAAGAGTTTTCATTGTCCTACATTTAAGAGAGATACCATTGCACTTGTTGCACATTTGCTTAGTCAGGACGCCCATAGGCAGTAGAATTGGAGCAGCTCCTATTTACTTTGTTTTAGATGACCGTTACTGCACTGGATGGATGTGGATTTCTATTTATCGGAAAGGAATAAACTTAACTCAGCATTAGTCATATGAAAGTAATGAATTACCAGATCACCCAGTTGGACTGTAGTGTGTGTGTTTTTCTAATAATGACTTGAGCTTCATTGAGTTGTGGTCTCTCTAATCTCACAGAACCTGATAGCTATGAACCAACAAACAAGTCTGACAGCAAAAAAGGGCTATTTACTCACATGAAGAAGAAGCTGCCTGTCTTTTGGAAATCTCATAAGACGCCTACCAACTATGATGATGCTCGTCTAAACTTTGTGTCTGAAGGTAATGATTTGATTTGATATACCTTTATTAGTCCCACAAGGGGAAATTTCATAAGGCTGCCGACCTATTGCACGCAATGGCGGCGCCATCTTACCCTCCGACCATACATACATTACACAAAACATCACATGGGGAAGACAGGTCAGAGAGGTATAACAATGGAAAATGCACCACATGAGGAAAGATAAGGAGAAAAAAAATATAACCCCCCAGACTGAGCTCCAACAGGGAGATCAGTTTGAGAATAGAAAAAAACACCTCTGCACATAGCACATGAAAAAAACTCTTAATACACCAAAGAAACACATGACAAGCAACAGGGGTGGGTAAAGGGTGAGACCGCCGAATTAGACACTACATCCGGGCCTGCGTGCGTTGGTCTCCTTGATCCCTGTCAGCATCGGAAGGGAATAAGCGTCGAAGGCGTTTGGAAAGGGATGGGGGATGAGTGTGTGCATATCAGTGTATATGTATGTGTGTGCGTGTCCAGAGTTCAGCTGAGACAGTGTCCTTCGCCCTGCTAGGCTAAGTAAACAGTCTTCCAGCCAACCCAGGTGGCCTTGCATGGAATGGGAAGGAACAGACTAAACACAGTCGTTATCAACCAACAGAAGCGTCCAGTTTCCATCATTTACAGAATTTCAGGGCACCCAATACATTCTTCATTGTTGTCGCCACATTATAGTCATCTTACCATAACACTGCACTGCAAAAAAGAGGAAAATGTGCTTTACTGTAAATTTACTGTAGAATATTTGTCTTTGTATTTTCTCATACACATTTATGTTATACTATCATATTATAGTCCTTCAGCCGAGTATATGGACTACTATGAATTCTACTATATAGACTCAACACTTTATGTCCAGTTATTATTTCATCTTTGTACTTTATCTTTTTCAGCTGCTGTGCAATTGCAGCCACCCAGAGATCCTTTGCTACAGTTAGTCTTCCTTCAGGAGGCATCTGGCTACTGGCGGCTTGATCCAGCTCTGGCTACTGCACTGGGAAAGATCAGCAAGGAGATGGAAAAGTCAAAGCCTGAAAAGGTGGGTTGTTGTCAATTTTAGTCATTACAAAAAGTGAATATATGGGTGTTAATCAAATTTTATTGTACACAATAAAGAAAGAAATTTAAGAAATTAAACTGTAACATAACATAACAGATGAAAATTAATTCAGCTGTACTAAAAACTAGGGCTGGATATTGTCACTGATTTCTGGAATCAACTCAATTCCGATTCACAAGGTCCCGATATTCGATTCTATCCACGATTCGATTTAATTCGCTTCGATTTTATTTGAATCGGGGGGAATTTTGCCTCAGACAGTCAGAAATATCATAATTCTGATCACTTATCAGTGCATATCCATATTATCCATAATATCTATAAAAAGAAAGCTGACACTAGCATTACAGCAGATGTCTTTGTGTCAAAGTAACTGGGGATAAAACACAGAAAAACTTGAAGAAGAATTTCCTGGCCTGGGTTTTTAATAGCAGATGACCTTAAAATATATTCTGTAGTAGGTCAAAAATGAAAGAAAACCATTAATCACCATATGAACATTACCTGTTGAAGTGAAGCAAAGTTACAAAGGTTCAATTAGAGACACATCTAAGGGTTTTGCAATTTTGCATAATTTTAAAAAGTTTACATTTGTTCAGTATAGCACAGGAGAAATGAGGCTTTCTTGTCAGAAGTAAGTAAAAAAAAACAGTGTCCAACAGCGCTGGCAAAACAGCAAAAGTAAGAGGGAATTCATGACGATGTATATGTGAAGCGAAATGTGAAGCGTAGTTTGGATCTTCTTCTGCTGCTGGTTCAGTCAATATTGTTTGGAGAGCGATAAAACATGCAGCTTCAGAATCTACCGCAAAAAAGACGTAAACACAAAGAGCGGACCCGCCGACACATCAGAATCAGTGAGCTGTCAGCTTTCAGCCCCCGATGATGTAACATCTCACTGGCTCTGATGCGTCAGCGGGTCCGCGCTTTGTGTTTACGTATTTGTGCGGAATCTGTGTACCTGCTGTCATTTAATGTTTTAGCTGTTTGGTGGTTGTCAAAATTTTGTGAGGTTTAACCTCAGATTCTGGTGTTTCGGGCAAAATAAATTTATATTAAAAATGGATTCAGGATTTTAATGAATCGATATCATGTTATCCAAGCTAGAATTGATTTTAATCTATAAATCAATAATCAAAAACTACCCCCTAGTAAAAACTGGCAAAAAATACATTATTTATATTATCACAATTGCCAAAAGTAAGATCTAAACCCTTGTGTAGCATTTTTTTAAAAAAAATCTAAATGTAGTTGTGTGCAGAACACTAACTTGTTTTGGTGTATCAACATTCACATGTGACTGGCTGCCTGTTGCCATTTTAGCTGTAGAGACAGGGAGACAGGAAGATGGATTTAAATGCAAGCATATCAGGAAAAAGTGACGAAATGAGCGAAAACGTAAAATGAGCAGCAACTGGCTGCATTTCAATGACATTGGAGACTGCAAAATACAGTGCAGAATTTAAAAAATTGGGAGCTGTCTAAAGTGAAACCTGTCTTTGTTTTCAGCCATTTTCCATCAAGGACAAAAAAAACCTCATTTGTGTTCTCCCTAGTAGTAGTAGTAACTGCATAAAAATAAAGCTTTTATGAAAACACTGAATGAAAAATTGTTTCCTTGAAAAAGACTAAAATTACTGTTCAGTACTGAATGTTAGATAAAATAAACTATATTCAAAGTGTCTTTGAATGGCAGAAATGCAGAAATGTGTGAATATACTGAAGAGCCATGGCTCAGTGTCTGTGTGTCTAAATTAGTCTCACAGACACTTGAAGCCATTTATATTTCTGAACCTGTTTGATCTGCTGCTCACCACTAACAAGAACAAGCATCAATTTTGGACTTTTAACAGTATTTTTATAGGTTTTACATATTTTCCCGCTGATTAAAAACCTCCCTTGTGGCAATTTATACTACACAAAGCGATTAACCAATAAACAATTAAATGACCGAGATGTTAGTTTTTCACTTTCAACAATAGAAATTTTGAGGGGTTTTGTGACTAACAAAAACTGGACAGCCTGGACAATGAGATACAATTTTACACATTTATTTCTTACAATTTAAGTCCAAAGAGTCGTACTGACAGGTTTCCTTTTTTGTCACAGCAGGTTTTTCTTCATTATGTAGAAAAACTGCTTCACTGGTCCGACCCACTTAAGAGCAAAGTGGGCTGAATGTGGCCTACGATGTAAAATTTGTTTGACACCCTTTCTCTGTGTGTGTGTGTGTGTGTGTGTGTGTTGCCTGTTTTATTTGTCTTTTATTGGGGAATTAGGGCAGCAATGAAGTGTGGGCCACCATTCTGGCTCTGATCTGGCTTCATGCTTTTAAGATGGATGCAAAGGATGAGTGGGAGCTTCTGGCTATGAAGGCTGCCTCATGGCTCCGTGCTCAGAATGGTAGTAACACGATAATAACAGAAATTGCTGCATATCCATGACACAAAGTTAAAGTGAGCTATTCTTGCAAATTCATTCTTTAATCCTTGTGTTTTGTGTTCTTAGCACCATGTGTGTCAGAGTGTGTGGACGCTGGAAATGTCCTGTTGGGTTCCAGCGTGAAGAAAGAAGCTCTGGGACTCTGAGAGTTTTCTCAAAGAGCTAGTTATGCCAAATGCCTTTTGATTCAGTGTTGTGTCATACTGTCTTCTTCATTCACGTTTTTCACTGACTGTGTGTTTATACATCATTCTGCATTTAATAATCAGTTATTATTAATCTCTGGCTCTCTTCCATAACGTGTCTTTTGTCCTGCTCCCTCCACTCAGAAATGAGAGAGAAAGCACACTAATGTACACGCTTAATGTGCCCTACACGCTTGTGCCTTGGGAAACGTTCGTCTTTGTGATTAAGATGTGTATATTAGCAAGCAATTTATGTTTAATTTTCTGTACATTTCAGTTAGAAAAATGAGGAGAAGCCTTAAGAAAGGAAAGGGTTTAAAAAGGTCTTCAAAGTCAAGAAAAGCAAGCCTTGTGGAGATCTCTTCTGTTGTGTTTGCTGGCTGTCAAGCTTCACATTGTTACGTGGTGTGAGGGCAGCACGAGGCAACTGTTGTTGTGATTTGGAGCTATATAAACAAAACTGAATTAAATTGTACTGAATGATGTCTCCTCTGTTATATTTATTGTTCATGTTTCATTTTTATTTTGTTGCAATTGTTCTAAATGCTTTTTGAACCTAATCAAACTTGGTGCTTGGAAGATTAAGAATTTGTTCTTTGGTTTAACTCAGTCCTTCTGAGTAAAGATCTATAGCTTCAGTTCAAGAAAATGAATAATGGTATACAGGAGTACAGTATCAAATTACACTGATAACTGAAGAACTACCATGCGGCTTATTCCTTCATTCTTTATTAACAGGACAAGTCACATTAAAGCTTTACAATAAAAAAGACATGTAACAAACACAAAACATCAGAGAATAATAAGTTTATCAAAACATAAGTTCTAATAAGTAAACGTGAGCAAAGGCTGTAAATGTAAAAGCTACACTTTAGCATAAAATATAATGCGTAAACATACCATTACAGACATATCTGAAACCGAACTGGAACTCTTAAACTCACTACTATCGTTAAAGCTTTTAATGTGTAAAGATAAAGTTGATAAGTTAATTTCCTGTTAGTGCATCTGTGAAGCCTCACTCACTAAATGATCTCATTGGAGGGATGCAGCAGAAAGCCTCTGACGTCACCGGAGTAGAACTGCGTGCGCGTATTGTAGACGCATAAGCTTGAACTTCACACACATACTACAGATCGGTGCTTGTCGGACACACAAATCCCTCTATTCAAAGGTATGCTTTTCTCCAATTCATTGTAACTTTTCTTTAGACGTTGTAACCTGACGCACTTCATAAAAAACGCCGTAAGAAGTGTGCTGACAGGAGCTGTATACAGATGCAGTCTGTATTTTCCTTTTTATTTACTGCCAGAATAATATCAAAACTTGTTCTGAGTCCAAAAAAAAAATCTCACCCAGGGCTGCTGCAGTAGGCGGTGAAACGTAACGAGTTTGGGTACCTAATATTTCAGTGGCGAGAAACACAATTTGTTGTCTTTTCAAGCTAAATCACGATGCTGTGGCCCAGTTAAACACGTTAATGCAGGGGTTAGCAACCTTTAAGACCCAAATAGCCATTTGGACCCGGTTTCCACGTAAAAGAAAACACTGGGAGCCGCAAATACTTTTTGACATCTAAAATGAAGATAACACTGTATATACTGTTTTCTACCTTTATGCTTCGTGTGAACAACTAAGGTGTGTTGCTTATGAAATTCATGAAGTGCTACAGAGAAAATTACATTTTATTTGTGTAATTAATACATTTTGAACTCTTAAAGAAATATAACCAAAGGAAAGACACCAACATGAACTAATCCATGTAGCAAACAAAAACTGTTGTGAGCCGCCACCCTTATATCGCCTTTGGGCTTTTGGAGCCTTGACCTGACTTTTATAAAATAATTTGAAAAAAAAAAGCACTATGCTGCTAAAAAATGAAAAATAGATATTTGCAAAATTCTGTCTAAATATGTATTTTACCAGGTTAATGTCTGTGGCGGGGCGTGGTTTGCAGCGCCGCTGCAGGGGAGACGGACGCACCTGAGCGGCACCCGCAATCACGTCTCGACGCCTTAACGTCTGTGCTATCGATGCTGTTGTGTTGGTGTGTGTCGGGCTGTGAGCTGAAAAGCTACAGCCGGCTGTTTGCGTGAAAAGTGATCAATAAAGAGATGCTGAAAAGCATGTTCATGCAAACATCATCGGGTCTGCCTGATATGTTTACAATGGGACTTCTACTCCTGAACCTCTGCGCATATCCCATATGCGCACAGCGTCTGCAAATCGGGGCTGTATAAAGTCACTTTCATCTTTACCAGGACTGTAAGCTGTCATCTGTGAGGCATGAGCGGTGTTTGTTTGTAACATAGTTCACAGTGGAGAATAGCTGCTGACATAATGTGGATCCGAAGATCCATAATTGGCCTACCTGGGGTTGAAAGTCTCGATATATGCACGGTGTTTCGGCGGGTACACCGGCTTCCGCGAGTGACGCTTATTTTGAGCCATGAAAAAATAATAAAATATAATTTTATTTTTATATTTAAATATCACAATAATCTTCCAATTTAGAACTACAAGTTTTAAAAAAAAGAACTAACATAAATAAAATACACTTCAGCTAAATACTTCTAATTTATTTTCCCAAACCACGAGGAGCCGCACTATATGGACTAAAGAGCCGCATGCGGCAGGTTGCCGACCCCTGCGTTAATGCAACAGCACATATCACTTAGTTGCCAGATTTGCGAAACCTGGGTAAAAACTAAGGTGTTTCCAGACTCATCTTTTTTTTAAATATAAAATTCAACTTAACGGGGCAGCACGGTGGTTAGCACTGTTGCCGCACAGGTCCTGAGTTCAATTCCAACATCAGGCCGGGTCTTTCTGTGTGGAGTTTGCATGTTCTCCCCGTGTTTGTGTGCGTTCCTTCCGGGTACTCCGGCTTCCTCCCATCGTCCAAAGACATGCAGCTTGTGGGCATAGGTTAATTGGATAATCCAAATTGTCACTAGGTGTGAATGTGCGAATGGTTGTCTGTCCCTGTGTGTTGGCCCTGCGACAGACTGGCGACCTGTCCAGGGTGTACCCCGCCTTTCGCCCTATGACAGCTGGGATAGGCTCCAGCGCCCCCCGCGACCCTGAAAATTATATTTGTCCAGCATATAAGATGACACAAAGCTGCTGCCATAAACACAAGATTTTATTACTGGGAATATAGTTACTCAAAGATGACAAACTGGGGAAAAAAGAGATGGAAGCCTTGACTAAAACAAACAAAGAGGAAGAAGACCATGAATCAACCACACAATGTGCCATTGGATCCAGGCTTCTGTTCTGTAAAACTAGACTAACAGAAACCAAAACCAGGAGTAACGGTAACTCTCAACTCAACCTATACTTGATAAATAAAACTATTAAAGGAACAGAAAGATGAAACCGATGCTGATGGATTTTAGGTAGACGGAGAGGACCGAAACACCAGTTGGCGACCCCCATGTTGTGCTGTCTTCATGAGTGCCCACATTCAGCACTAAGAATAAATCAGAGATGTGAGAGAGCAGGTTAATGAAGGTGACAATATAAACACAACAAGACGATGACCGGACCGATGCCGCACATAGCAGCGCCCCAAACTTAATGCATGAAACATTAGGTCTGCTCCTAAACAGGGTGTCATTTCTAGCTTTCGACTTTATTTGGATTTAAGCTACAAATTAAGGTCATACAGTCATCCCTATTTTTAATAAAAAATGTGGGAAAAGTAAAAAAAAAATGTTTAAATTACAAGTGAAAGACATGAACATGCCTTCATTTTATCTACTCTAATTCTGTCTGCTAAAGTTACAGCCAAAAGTTCATCCCCTACTTCCAGTTTATTTAAACTTCAGCTGCCAGATGTTGAAAAAATTTATAGAGAAAAGGCTCTTGGATGCTTAATTGTTTTCTTTAAAACTTTGCAAAGCTTTTAAATCCTTATATTACGTAACTATTCCCTAGTTCTAGATTTAGATCTTAACTGTTCCTCAGTCAGATCCTCCTAACTATCATTGTCATCTGTTAGTTATTTGGCTTCTGGAGCCAAAATGAAAGCAACACTAAATTCTTTTATTTGGAGTAAATCTCTGTGGTGGTTGTCTCTTACACAGGAACAATGGTGAGAGCCTGTGGTCTGCTAACTGCCCAAAAGGAACCAGGTAAAAAGTTGATGAAAATCCAAAATGGGCAGGAGACTAAACTAATTTTGAATTTAATCAAAAACAATTGTTTGGATGTTTATGTTTTTCTTTTAGTACCTCTGAAGAGCATTGAAGTTGAGCTGGAGGTGAGGGACCATGTGGCTACAGTGGTCTCCACCCTGAACTACGAGAATAAGGAGGACAAACCATTAGAGGCTGTTTTTGTCTTCCCTCTGCCTGGAGACGCTGCTGTCTGTCATTTCAATGCTAAGATCGGACAGACACAGATTGTAGCTGAGGTGAAGGAGAAACAGAAGGTGAGCTGGACAGTAAATATAACCTGATTATTGTTATTTTTAATCTTACATATAAACACAGTGAATGTCACTGACATGTGCCACCTGTCCTTCAGGCTCGTGAGGAGTATGATGATGCTCTGAGCTCGGGTCAGCAGGCCTTCCTATTGGAAGAGAGTCTTCAGAGTCCAGATATATTCTCTCTGAGTGTGGGCAGTCTGCCTCCAGGAGAGAGCGCCTCCATCAGGTTGGAGTACGTGACTGAGCTGGCTGTGCAGGCTGATGATGGTCTGAGGTTCTGTCTGCCTGCTGTGTTCAACCCTCGATACCAGCCTCAGGGTAGGAACACTTCAAAATACTTGGACCAGAAATGGTTAAACCATATTAGGTCTTGAACCAACCTCACAACAGTGACAGAACACAATATATGGCAGAAAAAGCATCAAAGTTCAACTTTATTTTCTCGAAGAAAAGATACTACATAACACCGTGACTGTCAAATATATTTACCAGATTGGAAAAAATGTAAAAGACTTGTGCCAGCCTTGTACCTAATTTCCCTGAAACCTTTAATTGGACCAGATGTTTTTAGAAGCTTTAATATTTAATGCCTTATTGTTCACAGCATTTCTAACCTGATGTTGTGTACAGGTAGTGAAGGTGCAGGTGTTCAGGTGAC